ACTACGCCAAGCCGGGTCAAGTCTTGTTCGATTTGGTTTCTGTGGAATTCCTCCCTCGATTGGGTGGTATCCAACTTCAACCGCATACGTGGTTTCCAACCTGTGTCTGAGTGGGTGCGTGCTGCATTTAACCAAGCCTGTGGCTTTTATCAATAAAGGGTGACTTCAGGGGATGTGAATTAGCTCGCAAGCCCGTAGGTATTTCGGTTGGTGTAGGCATATTAGAGTCCGAATCAACCAGCCAACCACCGAAACCAACTGGAAGCTCTAAACTTAACCGATGAACCCGCGTACATATCCCTGTGGAGTGGACCAGTGAGGGCGCCAATGATGATATCCGTGGATGCTTAGCTGGTGGGACCAGTCAGACTTGATCCCTGCTGAAGCTCTGGCCAAACAATGGGGTTTTGTTTGAAGTTGGTGGAAGAGCTGGGTGAGACTCTGTGGCGTAGTAACATCTACCTTACACATCTGCACAAGGTAGGTACAAAGTTTGCTATACGAGAATGATGAAAGGAACAGAGTGTTTCATTTAGTCAGGACTTAAGTCGCAATGGATATCTCGGCCATATGTGTGAGAAGGGAAAGAAGCGGCAAGGACAAAAGCCAGAAGGGCTTCTATGAAAAAGAGTTATATTAATTTCGTGAATATCTATTATCCTCTCGTGGAGTAGACTGGACTCGTTCACGATCCAATACCACCAAAGTTTATGCATTGGTTTGAACCTCGTGGTTACAAGTTTCTAATCTGCTTACCAACATAGAGAGAAAGCTCAAAGTCATAATATATGTCTAAGAATGACATTATTTGTCGGGGGAACTTGTGATCTTATTATATAAAATTTCGATGTATTGTTCTTAGTACGTACCTTACTATGCTTTTGGGTAAAAGGACCAGGCCAAGACCATGACAGATGCACATCATAAATCAGGCATCTTTACCAAGGAAACTGCTTATACGCAAAAAGGCTACAGTACATATTGAAATACATTACACTAGTACATTATCTTCTTATATAATCCGCTGTCATTCTCCACATGTGAGTCAGTGTCGTCATGAAATTCCCGATCACTTTCTGCGTGCCTGGGCGTCTGGCAGGTAATTAATCTTAACCCCGCCAAAAGCTAAATTGTGCTAGACACTGCTTGGGCTATGTTACTGCTGGTATGAGCGACTGATTGCGTCAAGAGGAAAGCAAGGCTTCCATATTATTCCATCTGGCCTTTGACCTAGGTGTAGATGCCTTCTTGGTAGTAAGATCTCGTGTAACTAGACCCTCAAAATGCCGTAGACAACCTATGAGCCATGTATTTATATAAGCTTGAGTGTCGCTTTCCCATCCGTCAGGGTCATCGCCAACTTGGAATACCTAGGTAGAGACTACATATCTGGGCCCGGAGCCACTCAAACGCCATCACCAGTGGTCTTGTGCCTCCCCACATTTGACCTCATCACGTTACGATAACAACCCAACCTACTACCGACAACTCAATAACGAATTCAAAAGATTAAACAGCACACCAAGGACAAACCAAGCTCTCTTGAAATTTACTATCTATGGAACAATGGACTCATCCCCGCTTGTAAAAGCACACGATCATGTGCGCGCCGCGAGTGTCGCTCACCACTCCTCCGACAGCACAGTCGCAATCACGGAACATACTCAGGCTGCTGGCGAGTTCGCCAACGCTGCCAGATCGACCTCCAGCATCGAAGCTCTGCGAACACTGAAGCTCCTAGAACAACACCATCGCAGGATCGCCGAGATCTTAAACCGACCGACCGAACCCACCTCCCAGGCCAGCGATGCCGATCACAACGAGAGGGATTCGTCAACCAAAGCGAATCTCCCCACACAAGATGCGGACGACAAGAAGGAAAACAAGAAGGACTCTACAGCGTCAAAGAAACTGTCCCCTCCCACCCAGCGCAGATATGCTCCCCGGGAGATGTCCTCTTCTATCGCCAGTAACTTGGCTACCGCTCGTGGCATCCGATCAAAGTACAGAGGCCAACCTCTCGCGCCTAGCGTTTCCAATGACCAAGCTCCCGGAAATCTAGACGCAGCCTCGCACCCTCGCGGAACCAAGGCCAAGATGCAGACTATCATCGATCACCAGCCTGGCAAACCGACGTGGGTACCACCTGTTCCTGCAACCACACGATCCGATAGTTATGGTAAAGCCTCATCGTTCCCACGCACCGATACAACTTCCTCTGCGGCAACCAGTGATGACGGAGGATATACTCGGTTCTACAACACCTTTGGGAGTCTCATCAATAAGATCTCAGCACCTTTGGCATTTGCTGGTCTGCCACTGATCCAAGAGGAATCCACCATTCCAGAAACACCTGACTCCCCAGAAATGTCTCCCAGTCCCAAACGTAGTCACCTTAAGGCGTCCCCGTCCAAGGTCTTAGAACCAGACCTTAGCAAGATCTACTCCAAGGCAACCATGCAGGCTCTTGTTAGAGAAGGGCACGGAGCTAACGATTCTTTCTACGTTGTACCCACTACTGGCCACACTATGTCTTATGCAAATATTCTCAGCTTTGCCGAGAAGGAAAAGAGAAGACTCGGGGCATCGTCCCACAGTGATCTTCTCGATGTTCCTGATGAAGATGACGATGACTTTGTGGATGCCCGAGAAGCACCCCCGCTGTCGCCCGGAGCCAAGCGTCGTATTGGCCGTGCCCGCACTGACAAGGACTTCAACAACATCATCGAAGAGCTATACACTGAAAATAAATCTCTCAAGGACACGCTAGATAAGCTTACCAAGCGGCTCCACGCCTTTGAAGCCAGTGCTCAGAATTCGGCAATGGCTCTTGCTGAGAGTTACCGTCTCATGCGCCCTGGATCGCCCACTGCTTCACCACATACCAGCAAAGTTGCCGATGAATCCCTACGACGCAAGAACCAAGAGTTGGAAGAACAGCTAACCGCAGCCGTCAAACAGATGGAGCGACTGGAAAAGGACAACCGAAAGATGCAAAAGGTTTTGGACAAGTATCGTGAGAAGTGGGAGACACTGAAGGCTGGGGCGAAAGCTCGGAGAGAGGCCCAAGGAACGAGTGAGAGCGTGGATGATGCATCGACAGCTGGGTAACAAAGGGATCACAAGTCTTTTTGATATTCTGTAAAATCTACAGGAGTTTGGATCAGCAGAGTCTTGTCCATAGGCAATGGATTGACAATGCTGGCGACCCGCATTGCCGTTTTATCACATTACAGTCGCTGAAATGTGTGTATCAGCCTCCTGCAGATGCATGTGAAATTCACCCATGGATCTACTTGCCCCCCATGGCCTATTAATTCCACCAGAAGCTTACACTGAAGCTCACGCTTAGACTTCTCACATAATGCCACCATCCGATAGGAATAACCAGTGTGTCTCCTGGTTTAAGGATACACTCCCAATACTCGATACCTTCGAGCTGTTTCCTCATCTTTTGGACATCTTCGTCATTCATATCTTTGGGTTTCTCATCCCATTCTTCGAGCACCCCCACATCCAATCCACTCGTATTGCTCATATCAACACCGTGCTCAGATGCCCGCGGCCGCATCGCATGTGTTGCGCGAGGGGGATACAGACGGATATATTTTGTTCCAACGACCTGGCAGAGCAGGTTATGATAGCCATCGGTGTGAAGAGGCGTGATAGTGCGCGCTGGGCCGAACCAGGCGTTGAGCTGGGGCATGTCAACCGGCGGCTGATTTAGAGACGGAGTTGTTGGATGAGGTGGGACATCGACCCAGCAGAAGTCCGGGATGGATATGTCGTTACGAAGAGAAGGGATCTGCTGGAAGAGGTTATGCTGGGCGAGATAGCCAATGCTCTCTGTTTCTCCTGTAACATAACGAGCAAGAAATTCGCGGAACTGGATAAGTTCTTGTCCCCAACCCTCATCAACATAACTTCTACCGATTTCAACCGGTACCAGACGTCTCCCTCCAAAGGTCTGAGAGAGGAGATACTCGGGATCCTTCCAGGGGCGGTCTGTGAGAGCAGGCCACTCTGCAATTAAATCTGTGAAGATAACAGGCCGAGGCTCTCCGTTGTTGCTATTCATGTAGTCTTCAAACTGCGGCATTGCCCAGCCGGAGTGTCGAGGACATTCCCTCGTAGGTGAGAGCCTCGGTTGTCCGTGAGGCTGGTAGTTGGAAAAGCATTGCGTCGAAGTGTCATATCTTTGACGCTTTGTTGGCCTCTCATGCTCCCCATTCGCCGTCCAGGCTACTTCAAGCATCCGTATCGTCTCCTCAAGCCATTGTTGTCGTCCACCACCACCAGCCGTGATGAGTGCTCTGTCAAGCTTCTCAACGACAAGATCTAGAAGCTTATCTGGGACAATGCTATCAATTGTGAGTGGTTGCACAATGAGGCTAAAAGAGTCAAGGATGCAAGCGTCAGTATATATCTGACGCCATATGACAGGGAGGAGGTCGTAACGGTAGGCGTAAAACTTGGATGACGAGATGGAGATCAAGTCTGCTATTCTTATTTTGAGAAGATCCTGATTGATGTTGACGATACTCTTGTTCGACGTCAAATCATTGTGGATTGTGATCAACGTATGAGCCTGTCGTGCAAGAAGTCGAACCATGGCATCTGCTGTGGGATCTGTATGCGCAGCGTGATCTGTCGATTTCCCTAAAACTCTCTCAGAAACCCCTTCGGACCCTCCAGGCCCTGAAGAGCCTGCATTTGTCGTTCTCGGCTGAGCGTCTGGTGCCTTAACGAGCTCTTGAGTTATCTCGAAATACCTGACGAGAATTTTCCCATATGCCGCTGACGACATGTTCCAGGAAAGATATAACTAACAATGAGATTTAAATCAGCCTAGTCGAAAGGCAATGTTGTTTCAAGACGCTTGTCATCTGCCAGGACTAAAGTGTTGTGATCAATAACAGTGTAAAAGCACGGATTGAGACATCACCGCTTAACCGTGAAATTGGTCGTACTAAGCATCCAATGAGATACAGTAAGGTGTCTTCACACACAATGTTCGTCAACATGATCTACTAGAGCATCTTGATCAAGTAATTAACATCGAGCCCAGCGTCTATTTTTGTATAGTGAACTATTCCAGCAATTTCCGGCCATACTCTGTTTATAAAGCCACAAACTGGACGATCAAAGCGCTGCTCATGATTCAAGTCATCATGAGTGGATTTCATTATTTCTTTTACAGATTACACGCGTATATCTTAGCTCGTCCATACTCCCACGACACCATCTCGTCTGCCTTCAACAAGATATCCATCTCTTACACGTACACGCTCCACGATGGCGGGAGTCTTACCCTCTTCAGCGGCCGTGATGCCGGCGCCGCATTCCCATTGTCGTCCCTCCACCTTATCGTACACCTTGACAACGTCCTCACCAGCAGCACTGACGATTCTTCGGGCGTCAAACATCATGTCTGTGATTGGATTGTCGTATGCATATGCGTCGTAAATAGACCCTGTTCTAAGGTCCCAAATCTGTGGTCACAGTTAGTAACAGTGTACTTGAAGAATACAAGAGGGCAACGTACTCTGATGCTTCGATCTACACTTCCCGTCACCAGATGCACGTCGTCGAATTGGAGACACGTAACTGCACCTGTGTGACCAACAAGACTGCGATGGACCTGGCCGCTTCGAAGATCCCAAAGTCGCACCATGCCGTCTGCGGTACCACAAGCAAGTGCCGTCTCAAAGACCTGCAATGCACCCACGAAGTCGGCTGAACTGCTCTGAGACCGCCCCGTAGGTCGCCACCCGCTGTCTGTAGTCGTCATACTCGCTGCTGCCGCCCACATAACGTCTAATGTTTGCACGCAACGGCCCTTTTCAAGATCCCAATGGCGAATCGTCTTGTCTGCAGAACCGGAAACCATAACATCGCCTCTGAAGTGAAGGGCTGTGATCTCGTCGACATGTGATTCCAATGTGTACAGAGGGCAATCAGCCATGCTACCAGGTGGGGGTTCAAGGTGGTTATCCGTTCCAAAAGCGATAGCATCCTCATCGTCGTCTTTTCCCAAGCCGCCGTGAGGGTCGTAGTGCGCCTTACTGAGGTCCCAGAGTCGAATGGTCGCATCCATAGAGCCCGTTGCGAGAATGTTATCCTCAACCTGTAAGGCGCGTACCGAAGCAGTGTGTCCTTCCAAATAACCCATGCATCTACCAGCGTTGAGATCCCAAACGCGAACTGTATCATCCAGCGCAGCAGTAACCATAGTACCAAAGGGGGCGTCAAAATCAATAGCTGTAATCGTGTCCTTGTGTGCTCGGAGCTCGCGAATGGCTGTGCCAGGCTCGAAATGCTCGTGCAGAATGGGCATTGACTTCTTACGATGGACCTTTTTCGTTTTCCGGGGCGTGCTACCTGCTTCTGAGGAGGGAATCTTATCATAAACTGACTGGGACATGAACTCTTGATCGTGGTCATCGGCATCGCCAACCAGATCTTGCTCGTCCTGGGTTCGTGTGTTTCGTGCGATTTCCTCCGCCTCATCAACCAGCGCCTGCGCCTCATCAACTCGGATTTCCATCTCGGAAACTTGTCAAGTCAGTAGAGTCTTTTCACGTATTTGGCACATCACATACTGTCGTGCTCCAGCATAGCTTCATCCTGTTCCAACCCAGCGAGCCTGTCCAGAATAATTCTTCGCATGCCGTGGAGATTGGCGATTTTGTTATCGATTTCTCGAATCTCGTAGCTCGCCATGCTCTTACGAGTACCCAACAGCCCAAACTCATGCATCATGGCAGCCTTCTCTTTTTTTAATTGAGTCAATTTTTTGGGGCTTCCTGGGGTCCCATCTGAATCTTCCAGCATCTTGCGACCGCGGGTGACTCGTCGCTGGAACTTTTTGCCCTCGTCAGTCAGCTCGGGGAAGCTGGCCTGGAAACCCTGAAACAGCGAGTAAGGATTGTCATGCTCAGGAATATTGGCAAGCAGTTCATCGGGAAGGTATGTCAAAGCGCGATGCTGGATTTCGTGCGTTGAAAGTCTGGAGCGCATGAGGTCGGTTGGGGTTGTCCTGGCCATCGCGAACATGCTTCGCTGGACCGTCGGCCGCTTCATTTGTTTGTGCACCTCGGCCATCGCGGTTTGGTAATGATGAGCCGTAGCTTCGGCATTGGGACCGATCAAATGAGTAGCTGTAGTTGTGACCTTTCGACTGAAAGCCTCGAGTCCGCGCGTCTACCCAAGAAACAAAGCATTGAGGTTAGCTATGTGCGGTCCGTATGACAAGAGACAATGGAACTCGAGTAGGTATCTACACACCGACACAATAGACTGGTCGTCATCTCCGCCTTCGTCGAAGCCATAGTGAGTCTCTTGGTTCGCCATGGCCTAGCTCCTGGCGGAGGTGCAGAAGCTCAAGAGAATCGGAGGGCCTTGGAGCGATTGGATTGAGGTGGAAGATTGACGCTGAGGCTTCGCACAAGGAAGAATCAAAAGATTTGGTAGCTCACGAGGAGTTTATCATGACGCGCGCCGGGATAACCTTGGTTATTGAGGTGGAGGGCAAAAAAGACCCGAACGGGCTTGATTTGGGCTTGGGAGGCTTCTGATCCGAGACGCTAATGTGGGCAAGAGCAGGATTGGATGGCATCCCTCTGTAATTGGCTCATGCGACACCTTCTGCCACAGCGCTGGAACTGCTGGAATGATCGCTGGGGGCTGCGAGGATAGTGGCGCACAGGTGAAGCTGTGCCCTGTAAGGTGTTTTAATGCCCTCCCGGTGACGTTCAAGGCCGAGCTCGACCTCTTCCCCGAGCTTACCCCTCCATGCTCAATTTTATTGTGCCGCAGGAAGTGGGAGGAAGGCAAGGGAAATATCGGCTCTAGTTCCGCCCATGCCCTCCTCCCTTTGGACTCATGCCGACCATCTCATGGCCTGCAATCTTTTAGTACAGTGCTCCAGCCTTTCCGTGCCCGCTTTCTGCTACCAACTAACCTAGGTATAGGTGGTGATTAACCCTTCGGTACTTCAATATTGACTTTGTACGACTCATTACACTGATTTAAATCGAACCCAATTTCTGTCTTTTATCAGATCTGGATCCAATCTTTGGATTGTTCAGGTCAATACATACACCTCAGAAGCGCATCTCCTCGGCGTTCACTTCCTTTCTTTTTTTATCAGAACCAGTATGGATACCGTTATCAACATGGCCGATGCCGCACACGCACTGGATCTGGCCCGAATCCGATTCCAACTTATGTATGAGCTGCTCCCGGCTTCCCATAGCACCTATTTTGCCATTGAGCACCCGGACTGACATTGGTAGTCGTCTTGAGGACACAATCACCTTCCATCTGATCGAGAGAGTGCAATTCGCATTGAATGGTGTAAGTGGGATTAGAACGCCTCATGCAAACCCCGGTCCAGCCGAAAGATCCCAGATTGCATAATAACGATAATTAACCATGTCATCATTCTAGACGATCTACGTTCCTGGAGCTGTGGAATTACCTGAAGCGAACCTGAGCTTCCTCGACTGGTATTTTCGCGAACAGGAGAAGCTACAATCCCTTATCCGACGCTTCGAGTCGCCTGACGAATATCCTTTCTTCCCCGATGCATTGCAAAACCCAATACTCAAGCCTCTCAACTACCCCAAGATCTTGCATGAGAACAACGTCAATGTGAACGACAAGATCAAGAAATTCTATACCGAAAAGTTTCTCCCCGCAGTGTGCCCCGATTTCGGACGCGAGGAGCGGGGTGAGTCTCAAGAAAACTACGGCTCAACCGCAACTTGCGATATTGCTTGTCTACAAGCTCTATCACGACGCATTCACTTCGGCAAGTTTGTCGCAGAGTCCAAGTTCCGATCGGACGAGGAAAAGTACATTCGGCTTATCAAGGCTGAAGATCGGGAGGGCATCGCTGAATCCATCACTAATGCAGCAGTGGAGAAGAAGGTCCTTGAGCGACTACGACTCAAGGCTCTGACATACGGCAAGGATCCCTCCATCCCCGACGGAACCGAGGGAGCGGCGAAAATCGATGTCGACGCTGTTGTTTCAATGTACAAGGACTTTGTTATCCCATTGACCAAGGAAGTCGAGGTGGAATACTTGATGCAAAGGCTAGAACCAAGTGCCTGAGCTTCATCTCATCTATTGCGCCGCACTGAGATATTCATTAACAGCTTTGACCGCCCCTGGGAACTTGTTCGCCTCGATAAGAATCATGTGCCCATGCGCCTTGACGCCCATTTCTTGGAATGCCCGTTTACTGTCTGCCGCCGACTCGTCCTCTTTTGTGTAATTGAAGTTGCCGTGCGCCACCGCGTGTTTTTGTAGCACCTCGTCCTCCATGTGGAAATAATAAATGCCGGCCTCCTCCTTTGCCTTTTTGCGCCTCTGATTCTCGACATCCAACTTAGACTCGAGTTCCTGGTATGTCTTGGACAATATCAAGTAGTGAGTGAAATCGTAGGGTTCCTTGTCCTCCACAGCAGCCTCAACCTCGTCGATAAGCATTGAATAGAGTGGTGGGGCCAGCTCGGAGGGCATGTTAATGAGGCGTTCGGAGAACACAAGTCCCACGTGCTTTCCACTACTGAGAACGTCGGCAATGGGTGCCAGTGGCGAGCTACTCTGCGCCTTCTCGATCAGGTATTTGATGATATCGTTCATGGGCTCCTTTTCCTGGTGGACAACCGTGTTGAGAATAGTGAGCATAGCGTAGGCATCAGTGGCCTTTCCGTCAACCTTGATGGTGGAACCAATGGTGGGTTGTGAGAGAACGAGATCGGCGAGGGCAGACATGTTGAAGAGATTCGCATCAACATCAAATAGTTGTCGCAAGAGGGTCTTGGTGCCATGGAAGTCAACCTCGGGGTCAAAGTTGAACCACTCAAAATCAACGTCAACCATATCGAAGTCCTTTGATGCAGTCAGTAGGATGTGCATACAACTTTGAAAGCATTTTGCCTACCTCGTCATCAGAACCGTCCTCGTCCATCTTGTCGACATCAGCCGGCGGGACATCCTTGCCCTCTTCGCGCGCTCGCTTCTTACCCATTGTTGAATATTAGATGGGCGTCAGTTTGGAAGATTTTATGTTAGAACGAATGTAAGAAGACTGAGAAGGTCACTTGGTTGCTGGCGCAAAAAAAAAGGTATAAGTTGACAAAGTTTCACCAGTGATGTCGAGCCAAAACATTTTCCAGGCCCCTCATCACTAACAACTTTTTAGGGCGCTGATAAGATAAGAGTGGCTAGACGGTAGCGGGAGCTCACCTCAATGAAGCAATGGATGCCAGTCAGGTGTCATGGGCCTAGGTAAGGTACATAAGTAAGCTCCCCAGCCTAGACGGGAATGGCTGCAACCTGCGGGAAGAGAAACGCCTCGAGCGATGAATGGCAAGGATAGGTTGTATTATAATGGGCTACCTGATATCTGGGGCGACTTCTGTTCATAGAACTTTAAGACATAAGGTACTCATTGAAGACAATGAGTCTCGAGGGTTGCAGGAAGAGAGGAAGTATAAATTACCATTGTCGTGCTATCAATCCATTAAAGTGCCCATCAGCTTGGATCCGGGCAGCTCCTCGCCGGCTCAATTTGGTACCCGTACTCCACCTCCATCCTGCTCGCTACCCCCGTCCGTCCCTGCCGACCACCGACTGGACTTAGGTCAAGCGCGCGCTGAACCAACGCAACGTCATTCCTCCAGCTTCTCTCTCCCATCAACAATCGCCCAACCGACACAATCGCCAAATTATATCGTTGATATTTCACTTGCGATGGACTACAGCTCCACGATCCACGACGTGGAGGATCCCGCTGGCGATTCACCATGGGGCAACTCCCCTGTGTCGTCTCCATCGCGAAACAACATTGCTGCCTTCAATCCCGCCTCAGCTGATGCTCCTCCTCCCTTTCGCTACAACACACAATCCTCGAATGGCCTGTCTCAGGACCAGTCTGCATCTCAGTCTGAAGAATTCCAGCGTCCAGGGACTGCGACTACAGCCTCCGGCACTGAAGATGGTACTGAGGCTTCAGGTACGCTGAACACCTCAGAGGCGCAGTCGCAATCCACAGCCGCTGAACCGTCAGCTGGGGAGGATGGACAATCTCAAGCACATAGCCAGCAACAAAACCAGGCTGGTGCAACGGTTTCACAGTCTCGACAGGAACAGCACCCCCCAAAACCGGCTGGGCCTCAGTATCGACTCCAAGCCAAGATTACGGGACTTGAACGCACCGGCAAGAAGGATCCCATCCTCCGATTCGATGTTCACGTACGATTTCTGAGTTCTTTTTATACCCTCATGATGGACTGACAAGTCACAGACCAACATTCCCCGCTTTCGAACAACTCAATTCCGAGATGTTCGCCGTCTACACTCCGAGTTTGTTAAACTCGCCGATCATCTGATATCTGCGAATCCAGAGGTGTTTGTCCCTGCGGTCCCGCCGCCTCTGACCTCCGCTGGAGCTGGGACAGACGAGGACGAGATTCGGGTCAAGGCCCTGATGCAGCGGTGGTTGAACTACGTTTGCGGTAACGAAATCCTGATGCGGGACGACGAGATGGTACTCTTTGTGGAGAGTGACTTTGGTTATAGCCCCATGGTGAAGAAGAAGCAGCCAGCGACAGGCGTCCGCAGAAAGATTTTGAAGCAGTTCGCTCCACCCCCTGATGATACCCCTGAACTTGCGGATGCACGTCCAACCGTCAAGCTCTTTTATCTTGGTAGCATGGATGCCGGCCACAAGGTTGATAAGCTGGTCAAGGCCAGGAGGGGTAAGCTTCTGACAGACCGCACAAGTCCAGCATACTGAACATCTTTAGGACTTGGCCTTTCCGAAGCCGATTACGGTGCTAAACTCACAAGTATGCATGTCCAGGAACCCCATCCTGGTTTGGCAAATGCATATCGAAAGCTGGGTAAAGTCGTCCAGACCGTCGGCGACTATCATGCTGCCCAAGCGACAGCAGAGGCTACAACTATTGGCGACCCATTCCAATATCACTCACAAGACGCTTTCATTGTCAAAGAGTCCCTTACCAACCGACAGATTCTGATTCGCGAATTCTTACAAGCTCAGGAAGCTACCCGTAGCAAGCTCAATGCGGCTGATCGCCTCAAGGCCAGTTCGAGTGTTCGCCGCGAAAAGGTGGACGAGGCCATTACAGCATTGGACGATGCTCGCCAGCACGAGACCTACTTGTACAATAAGACCAACCGTGTCACCCAAAACTTGGTCCAGGAGCGTCGTAAGTGGTTCTCGAGAACTTCTGCTGATCTGCGCCTGAGCATTAGGGAATATGTGCTCAGAGAGATTGAAGCTGAGAGGCGGACTCTGGCCCTGCTGGAGACAGTCCGACCGGATATTCGATCAATTGACGCCTCCGGTGGATTGAGCCGATTGGGTCGTGAGTCGCATCCTACCGTGCGTCGATCGAGTCTCGCAGCCAGTCAAGGCCCCAAGGGTGACTCTTGGAGTGGCGTTCCTCGCCGTTCAGATGCCACGGGTCGCAGCGTGTCGGGCAGTCTCATCAGCAAGGTGTCAGAGGAGGGCGAGAGCGAAGAGAGCACCGAGGCAGCTCAAGGGCGACAGACGGGGGGCCGTGCCGGTCTTAAGGGTGTCAGCGAAGAGGATGACGAGGATCGTGTGGATGCTAGGAATGCTGCGAGCCGGCTGGCGGCCAGCACATTCTAAGCCGCAACAGCGACGAGTGCACTATGTTGATGATGAATAAGGGGCTTGCATCAGATTCCCTCCTCTTTTTGATAGCATTGCTCTGAGCCTGGTGTCATAAGTAAAACTGATTTTCTTTATCGTTGCGTTTGTGGTCTTCTATTTGTCTGAGGCCTCAAGAATTTATATCAACGCCGTGGTGTGTATGGAAATGCCGTGTAACAGCAACACTATACTTTTGATAATGTCATTGCGCTGCCGGAACCTCATTGTCATTTATCACCATCGTTCGATCTTGAAGGGATGGCGGTGTATAGAGTTGGTGGGTTGGTTACAAGGAAGACTGCACATCTCCCAGCTCCCAATTGTGGAGGATGCGACGTGATGACTGGCGTATCAAGTCAAAGCTGTGACAAAGACTCATCAGAGCGTTATTCATGATCACAAATGAGGTCGGAGGAGTATGCTTCATCGTTCACATGAGCCTATGTCCTCATGTTGAGAAAGTCATTGATAGATAAGATAATTTGAGTTCATTGGATATACCTCGTCTGATGCTGAAATCCGGTCTGGAAGACCCTGACTATAATCTTGACCGAGGCCAAGCTGCAGAAAAACACTTTACGCCATGTAACGGTCGTACAGAACATCTGTTCGAGACTCTGGAGGTGGTATGTAGATTGCATTTCTATGACGATTATAGCGAAACCTGCTGTACACATATGCTGTGTCAGCCTGAAAGCATTGGGAGCAATGGCCTAGGCTCTCAACCTCGGTGGAATAGCATATCCCGTCAATCTTGCATGAACAAGACTGTCAGCAATGCCCAAAAATTGAACCAACCAGTCTTGCAGGTTCCAATGGTTGCCGGACAGCACCCATAGGGCTGTTTCTAAACGAAGGCCTCAAGCGGAGGTTTGAGACTGGCATCCTATCAAATACTGCCTTGAGACACATGTGCAGCTGGTTGGCTGTGTCCATAACCTTCTTCCTGAGTACATACTGTAGGAGGGAGCTGACATGTGTCTTGCATGGTTTGTCTTCTCTTAGAATAGAGTTTGCGTGCTAGCATTTGTATTCCGCTCTCCGTCTGCTCTTGTAATGAGACGATGCCTGATTGAGTGAGGCCAAGCAAGCATGTACATACTATGTCGTGCTCAAGGAAGAGGCGGTCTGAAGGGATTGCGATTGCCTCCCTACGCATAGCACGTTTCATTACACCCTACTTGGCGACTGTCATGGCCTGAACTGTGTGGGAGCAAGTTATTTGTCCATTCATGCCTTGGGTTGTAGCCATATGCTCTTTTACGAGAGCAACAGAGTACTAAGTCTTCAGATCGTCTAGTCTGAAGGACGTACCTACTCTCTGATGTTGACTAAAACGTTAGATCAGTTGTCGGAATCCTCGCATAAAGCCTGAATAGTAATAATAGGCTATCAATATCATTGGGCGTCTTTAACCGCGATTGACGGTTATCAGAACTTACTTCCGGCTGGGGTCTGTCACATCCAGGGGTTGGGATGAAGTAGTGGAACCCCAGGCGCATGGCATCTCGTCATTTCTGCACCTTGTGGCTAACCCTTAGAATAGACGTGCAGTAAGATAGCTACCGTAGGCCAATCAGTTGTGCAACTCTCTTGTTGTTTGTAGCGGCTATCCAGAACAACGGAATATTTCACCTTGACAGAAAGTCAATGCGTCAGGAATTGAGCACACAGTGTCGGCACTTATTAAGCTGTTGGGTTTGAATCAAGCTGAAGTTTGCGGCAAGGATGGAGCGAGCTGCATTCTAGAAAACTTCTCAACATCCGAATGGCCCAAATAACCCTGGGATGACCCAGTCTTGGCTGTTGATGCAAGCTTTAGCCTGGTCTTAGGCGAAAGAAAAGACGTGCAGATGTTTTTCGTGTGTTGGCTGTTGAAAATTTTCATCTTATGATGAGGCTGCTGGCAACCAGAACATGTATCAGGCGTACCATTGTTGGCTTTTGCCCATATAACACTCCTAAGTCATGGGTGTATTCATTGGTAGGAGACAACATAGCCACACCTGGATACCATCATCATTCACTCTCACCCCCATCGGGAGAGAACAGATCGCCGTGGTGAAGACAACTGAGAAGATGGCGGAAGCAGTCCTACCCCATCCCCGCCAAACGGAGGGAGGGCTGGACCATACGTATGGGGTCCGGGGTTTGACCCTCTGATCCCTGCCAACTGTAGATTTATTGTCGACATCGTGTTGCTTCTTCTGTGGTTGATCCTTGGCCCTTGGAATCCTTGATAAGGCACGACATGACAAGTGGAGGTGATAAGCGGCTATGTATAAATCTTGATTGATAACACCCTGAGCCTTCAAATCGTTTATCGTGTAATATTCTTCAGTTTATTTTAAAGCCAGACATTGGTTGTTCCAGCGAGAAATCAACCCCGAGGCACTGTTATGTACAGCACAAGATGTTTCAAACAGGACCTACCGACTGAGGTAAAAAGAGGACTGAGGACTGGAAGGTTGGTTCTTGGTTAAAGTTCTGCCTTCCTCCTGGAACTTGGAGGGGATGGATATCCCCCGATTGGTGTGATACATGGCCGGCAAGGTTAGCAGGCAAATGCGGAAACACATGTACATACCTACATTACATGTACTGTAGGAGATTGCTATCAAAAAGGAAAGGCTCAGTTGAGACAAGAGAACCTCTGTGGCCACCTTTGCACCGAACAATGCTGGTACCTCATCTGGTATGCTCTCTTCTCTCATCAGTCTTCTTCAGCTTGACCTACGAGCATTGCAGAATCAAGCATGCCTCCGCTGGCCTTGACATTCTCGCAGCAAGCCATCCTTGGCCACCATCAACTCTTGAGACAAATTGATCACTTCTCAAATTCACTTCATGTCCCAGAAGTACTAAACGGGGGGATATGACTCGGCCCGTTGTCTAGCCCTGCAGCCTGCGACTTAACATAGCGTATCCATTGGCTGGTGGCTGACGACGGTTGGAAAACCGTTGACGACAGCTCTTGAGAGTTGGAATTGTCGAAATGACGTTCCTTTTGTCCATGTCGATGAGACCGCTATTTGCACGGGCACTCAAGCTTGGCCAGCCTTTCTCACACTGGGATCCTCTGTTTAAAGTCGATATCAAGCAATGCCTTGTCTTTAACTGCAGTCGTTGACGTTCCAGACACGTGCGCCAATGACACTCTGCAACTGTCATGGATGTCTTCCCACAATCTCACTCACCGCGATCTCGGGCTGATTAGGGACCACACCACGATGCTGCTTGTGCATGGCTACAGTAGGACAAACATGGCCCCCGGTACACCTGGCCGTCTTCCGCCACGGAGGCATGCAACAGTATCTACGGCACACGTTCGTCACAATCGATGATCTTGTTTCCTCTTTAGAGCGGGCACCAGTGGTGGCCAGCATTGTCCAAAACCTCAACACTCGTGTAAGTCGTGACCATGAAAGACTCATTTTCTTCTGGCAGCACGCCTTCTAGCCCTCCTCTGTCAGCGGCATGGTGTTCTACTAGCCTGGACACCTTTCACCAAACAACCTACTACAATGTCCCTGTCCACGATTTTCCAGGACGACCCAGGAAGTAGACGCCGCTATTAGACCCTTGATAGCGCGCCCCGCGAGCAAGCATCAGGGCCCTCAGTGACGCCCCATCTGTGCATGCAAGACGCCCGCCTGCTACAGGCTCGTCCGCCAAACATGCACCAATTCTGCTTGGTGGTCCGGCCTCGGCCCAGGCACATGGCGACCATCTTGCTCTCTTGAGCATCAGGGGCTGTCGTTCTGCCGATACGCCATTGCCATCGTGCTAAGTCCTGCAGCTAGTTTGCGATATGACAACACCTAACGGAAAGCTCCTCGTTTCCCACCGATAGCTTGTTGCTTCCTGACTGGGCCTTCTCCCTCCCAATTCAAACGCCTCTAGACGCCGCTCCACCTTGGCACTGAGCATTTTGATGATGAGCGCACGCCCTTGCTTCTGATTGCTCTCGATCCGGACTCCTCTGGCGAATTGCTCCGGAGGTTACTGGCGAGGAGTGTTATCTACTTAAGGGGTGGGAACCCATCTCCTTTGGCTCATTCTTCCTCGATCCAACGATACATAGCCGTGAGCCTTTTTACCTGCCCAAACCGGCTCAAGCATTCGTGCCAAACAGCTCGAGGAATTCAAGTCTTATATACTTCTATATCTTACACCAATCTACCACCTAGGCACTTGGCACTTGGAGCGCCTCCACGAGCTATCCTAGGCCCTTACCCCCACGCGCTGGCCGTCTCCCACGTTTCCATCTCTCTCCACCAGCCAATCCCCTTTGCTGTATTTGCCCCAAACGGCAACTGATCAAGCCATCGCCCGACCTCAAGTCTCCATTCTCGCCAACATCCCACCTTTATCCCACGCTTCAAGCGTTGTTGTTGACAGCTATGGCCCCAGTTGCTACGGGAGAGATCGCACCAACGCATCTACCCGGTGGTCCATCGAAGCCATTGAGCATCAGTGCCTCTGTCTTGCATGGTCCCCGCGATCTGCGACTGGTAAGCCGACCCCGATAGCCTCCATGGTTGCTGTCGATTCAGCCCTACCCGAACACTTGGCTGACTTACCGCGTTCCAGGAAACAAGAACCATCGAGGCTCCAGCGGCAGGCGAGCTTCAAATCGCTATCAAGGCGACTGGCATTTGTGGTTCAGATGTATCCTACTACAAGAAGTTTGCCAATGGCGATCTCTGTGCTTGTCACCCACTGTCACTAGGCCATGAATCGTCCGGTGAAGTTGTTGCTATTGGTCCTCAAGTGAGTGGCTTCAAGCTGGGCGACCGAGTTGCTCTTGAAGTTGGTGTTGCTTGTGGAAACTGCGGCACTTGCCGTAAAGGTCGCTATAACCTATGCAAAAAGTTGCGTTTCAGAAGCAGTGCCAAAACCTACCCTCACTACCAAGGCACATTGCAAGAGAGGATTAACCATCCCGCTGTCTGGTGCCACAAGTAAGCTCAACACGATACTCTTGACAGCCCTGGTTACTAACCCGAATGCAGGTTGCCCGATAACGTCTCGTTCGAGGCCGCCGCCCTCCTCGAGCCGCTGTCTGTAGCTATCCATGCGGTGAACCGTGCCAGGCCGGAGCCGGGCTCCACTGCCCTTGTTATCGGTGCCGGCACCGTTGGCCTGTTGACTGCCGCAATGGCTCGTCAATCAGGCTGCACCTCGGTCACAATCACAGATATCGATGCTGGGCGTGTCAACTATGCCATAAGCCGTGGATTTGCAACTCATGGTTTTGTTACCCCCCTGTCCCGTTTGAACTCATCGAACTATTCTTCTGGAATCTCTACACCCGAGACTGGTATCATTACTCCTGCCAGCACCTTTTCAACAGCAAGCCGCTTCGACGGAGCCAAATCATTGGCTGCGGATATCCTTGCTTCATCAAACCCTGCTGGTACCTTCATGCTTGAGGAGGATGAGGACGGTGTGGATGTCACATTCGAGTGCACTGGAAAGGAGGTGTGCATGCACACGAGCTTATATGCTACCAAAGCCGGCGGCAAAGTAATCATGGTGGGCATGGGAACTCCGATCCAGACTCTCCCTCTCTCCGTGGCCCACCTCCGTGAGATTGACATCCTGGGCGTATTCCGGTATTCCAACACATATCCCACCGGTATTCGACTTTTGTGTTCGCAAGCTGCGAATCCCTCTGGCTGCAGCCTGCCCTCGTTGGACGACATGGTTACCCACCGTTTCAAGGGCCTCGATCAGGCACAACGTGCATTTGAGCTAGCAACACGCACCAGTGACGACGAGGGCAAACTCGTCCTGAAGATTGTTATTGAGGCATAAAATCTTTCTCAAGATTGCCTTTTTACGACTTATGAATGATAGACAAAGATATCCAAAAAGCTACATATTCCAGTGGCGTATTTCATGGGGGGCGCGTAAATAGATTCTCTGTTATGAAGATACCAGCTACTATATTGGTAGCTTGGAGGTGGTTGGGTTTGATTGGAGAGATACCAAATATGATATGAAGTGGCTTAACGGGCTGGAAGAACGGGTTGGTAAGGAGTTCGTCCTAGCAGACATAGTCCACGACATTAACATGAACACTTGATCCCTATCTTAACTTAACCCATGAAGCCGGGATATCCCCACAAACAACTAGACTCGTGAATACGATATGGCTAACTAGTTTATGCTTTAATTCATCTCTAAAACACGATTTGAAGTTGTAATCTACCTCAAACACCAAACGCCCGGCTGAATGTAACTAAGTCGTTTCTGTCGTACGCGTCATCGTGCCTTCACGCGTATATCTAGCAATCTCAGATCAGGATATCGCCAGCTCCACGAATGTTATAAGCCGCTGGGTCAATGACGAAATCCTGCCCGGGGCCAGGAGGAGCACCACGACGGTGCGACGCCTTTGCGTTTTCGACAACGTGGAACTTCTTGCCAACGTCGCGGGCCTGGCCGACGCTCTGGACAATGCCGTTGAGGAGTCTCACCAAGTTAACATCGTTTGCCTCATGGAGCATCTCGCGCTCAAATGCGGCTCTGTCTGAGGGAATGACGAGGTCCAGGCGGCTGACGAGGGCTTGGATCTGGCGAAGCACTGTCGCTGATGGAGTGGTATAGTCGGCGTCCATGCTACTGGAATCGGCTGTGTCACCGTTGATGTACGAGGGAGGAAGACGCTCGAGATAAGTGGTGAGAAGGAGTATTCGGGACTGGAGCATCTTGATAGCGTTGGCCTTTGCTGTGAGGGCAGCAATTGTTTCGTCCTCTTCTGGCGTCAGAACAACCTCATCATCCTGCGCAATCGCCTTGTTGTGATCTTCGTCGTGGCTCTCTACTAGCCGGCGCTTGCCCTTGCCATTTGACTCGATGGACAAAGAGGGCTTGTCTTCCTTTTGGGGAGCGGCGGCAGCGTTTCCTCCTGAAGCAGCAACGTAGTTCATGCTGATCATCTCTGTTTCGTCGGTCTCAACCGAGTAGGGCAGCTCTCTGAACTTGAGCTTGAGAGCGGGCTCCCCGTCATCCATCTTCTTGTCCTCTCCATCGTTATCCGCCTTTGGGTCGTCGACTTCATAGTTGCTCTCGTAAATAGTGAGTGGAAGTCTGCCACCGACGGAGTGATCAAGGACCTGTTCCGGGTGGAATCCGAGGAGTATGGCTGACTCGTTCCAACCTTCGAGAATCTGATTATGGATTGGGAGGATAGTCGGGGTCGGACCTGAAGAAGGTAGAAGGGTGTACCATCCAACGAGGTCGAGGTGTCTATCCTTGTGGACAGTGATCACTAGTACATAATTAGAGGGAGATGATGATAGCATGGACGAGTTTACTGACTCTGTTCTAACCGTGCGCCGAATTTCGTGGCATCGAGGAGGTATCCACCTTGTACATTGGGCTCTTGTCGGGTATGAGCTTCAAAGGCATGCTCGACTGTGATTTCGCGACCATTTTGTTGACCTAGCAAGACGCCAATGATGGGCCCTTCCTGTTGACGAAGAGTATGTCGTGTGATGTAATCGGAGATGGTGAGGAGGACGAGTGGGTGAAGAACAGCCTGAAGCTCGGAACTCTTCTGGTTAGAGAGAAGAGCGCTGCTGGCGGGGGTCGAGGCAGCCATGATGAGCTGAGGCGAAGACACTGCAGAGCGGGTAAGGTGAAGTGTGTCGTGGAAATTATGTGGTGAAGTTAGTAAGAGGGTTGAGATTAGTGTGTTTGGTATTTGAATGAAGCTATCGTTAGCTTTGGTCAAGGCGGCGTTGGCGTGAAGGATGATGGAGATGAGTTGCTGGTGGACGGATCATGGGAATAAAGATGCCCCGCATCCATGCGAGGCTGCTAGAGCTCCAGGGCTACCTGAGCTAAGGTAGTGCCTAATGGGGACTTGAGTGTGGGGTCTGTTGGAGGTACGAAGCAGAGTCGGTGATAACAGTATTAGGTCAGCATTCAATTTCCGTTCTAAATTCGACATTGGCGGCATGTAACCCTGAATTTTGCCGCTGTTTAGAGTGACATGTCATGATCATACAATGAATCGAGTTGAGCACATGCATGTGTTTTATGCTTTGTGTGTATGAGCTGATATAATCCTATTATCAGTCTATTTATGGTATATCTATTGTCTATCCCTCATCGACATTGACGCGACGTCGCTTAGTTGAGCAGATCCATGCCTGTGTCCGTGCCTGTGGCTATTCCTATGGTGCTTTGATCATCATCCAGGAGTCGAGATCCAATCCATTTGATACACCAGCTGCTTTGTTCAAAACCGGCCATGGTTGCAGGTTACTCGGCAAAATAGGCTTTATTACTGTGTCGGTTCTTTGTACGAGAACTCAACAAAAGTCGAATCTAAATCTTATCAGCTATAAGCCTTTGTTAACTCAAAAAGAAGCTTTCAAGCTTGACCATCTCCACCAATTTTCAAGTCGCTCAAGGTAAGATATGCAAAGCGAATGCAAATGCAAATGCAAATGCATCCATCCATCCAATGCAGGCATCTCATTTTGGCTCAGACGGGCGATACCACCGGCACGTCTGTTTCCTTATTATTATTGTGGCTTCCTTTTCTTTTTTTCTCATACACCCGAGTCTCACATTTTCCGCATTCCGCCTTTCTTCTTTCTCTTCTTTCCCCTCTATTGATTTGATTTTCAAGATCCATCATCCTTTATCCTCTTTATCTCCATCAAGATCGTCGTCGCATTGTCTCTTTTCTCCCCCTTCACCTATTTCAGCCCCTCCTCTTCCTTCTCGGTTGTCTCTCTTTCTCACTGGCTGGACCATAACTGGATCTTTCCGGCAAATATCAAGTACTCATCTGATCTGAAATAGTCGCACATCGCATCATCATATCTGCCTCGAATCTCATACTCAATCTCTAATTCTCCGATATTCATCGCCCAACTCCATCTTCGTCGCCGCCTCCAGGTTTGACCAACCTTTGAATATACTCTCCCGCCTCGGGAGTCCACATTATCTCACCCACTCTCATCTTTGGACACTTCCAAATCATGATCGCCGCCTTTGGTCAAAGTACGGACAAAGTGGTCCGCGTGTCGACGGCTTCACATCATTTGAACATCACAACGCCTGCTTTTTACCTGCAGCAACCCACGACACGCACAACCATGCCGTCTCGTAGTGGGAAACGTCCTCATTGCGATAGCATCGACAGCGACTCGCCTGCGCCGAGCAAGAAGTACAAGCAAGCGACCTCTTTCACTTCCGATACTTCTTCAACATCGGCAACGTCGACTGCTAGCTCTATCGACTTGGATTATCCTTCAATACAAACACCACTCAGCATTGACACTCTCATGCCGGCCTTCAAGAACGTACAATACGACCGTCCAACCTACCGATCAGTATCACCACAGCCACCATCACCCAGATCGCATTGAAGCTCACCTCATTAAAGGTGTTTATGAAAGACACGGCCTCACATTTTGTTTTGATAACACATTGGATACCACTTTGCATCCCTCGGCATAAGCTGAGGGCACTCTTTTCGACATCAAGACCAAGAATGATTCCCTTTTTGTCATGCTACGCGGAACACGAAAAACACCGAGCCTGGACCTCGGTTACCAGTACTCGACTTGTCCAATTCTCGGCGTTATACACATAGAGCGGAGGATTTAAAGAGTCACGGTAGACTCTGGTACATATTACATAGTTAGACGATTGGAATAATGGTTTGGGGACATGTTGGGCTCGGAAGTCTAGTAACAATGGCAGATGTTTGTAAGTAGTTCATAAATACGCAGTAGTCCCCCCATTGTTGGTACAGGCAAACGCCAGATCCCTCTCGTAATCGTCATAAATCATTTCAGCGCATCTTTGTCGTTCAATTCATCTCCCACCACATGACATCCTCTTCCTGGCAGTGCATGCCGATCTCGAAATTCCGCTCCATTGTGGTCATGGAATTTTCCATGACCAGAAGCTCTACACGCGCCATGGCTGCTCCATCGCCTGTCTGTTTGGCCGCCATGTACTCGGCCATGAGCTCGGCGTGCCGGCTCTCGTAATCCTGACGGACACGGCGCCTCCGGGCCGCCGGATCGCACGCTGCGCACGTGTCGTTGAGATGTTGAATTTTGACATTGGGAGTGCATGGACGACAGTTTGTGGCCATGCCACATGTTGTGGCATAGTTTGTGAATGTGTGGCCGCAAACCATTGTGGTATTGATACTTGTGCACATGTCGATTGCAATTGAGTTTAGGAAATGCTCGAGAGGAGGAAATCGCTGATAATTCGGCGCAATTGCATATAAGCTGTGAGTCAAAGATGGCGGTCAAGAAGTATTACAGATGAATGTGATTTTTGAGCGTCGTGGACTTGGAGAAGAGAAAACCTTCACGTTGGGGCATTTATTTACAAATCTGTTCATGATCGAAATATCAACTAACTTCCAAGAATTATCTAGGCTATGCCTTCTTTTTGATCCTTTCTGCGATCATAGAGATGGGTCCCCTGTCCAAGTCGTCTCTGGTGGATGTCGCATGATGATCATGGCACAAAGGCTTCACCGCCATCCTACACCTCCCAAGTGCGACTAAGAAGTCCGACAAAGAACAGGCCGCCTGGTGTTGAGAGCGGCCGGTGCTCGGCGTGATACTGAAATAGCTAATCGGATTACATCCGAGTCAAAATCAGTTGCCTGTTTGAGGAATTGGGACATGACTGTACGCTCGTAATCGCTATTATCCTATTCTAATCTACATATGTATTGTACTATTTGTTTTACTTTTGTATGAGCGGTCTTGTTTCATGGGGGGAGTTTTCTTTGCTACTAGCCTCATCAATTTTACAAACCCAACCGTCTTATATATCGTCCATCATGACTCTTCCGGCTTTGACTCCTGTCGAACCTGAGGGTTGCCGGCCTCTGGCGATGACTCGGCCTTGGGCTTGATGCTCTTCCATTCCACACCAAGCGCGCAAATCAACTGGGCTAGAGTCAATGCTAGACTCACAAAGAATATCCGGGTAATGGCAATGTTGTAGGCGTCCTTCACCAGGGGCATGTACTCGGGCGGAACTATCTTGTTCAGTTCTGTAGCGCCTGCATCGACAATTTTCTTGGGCGTGAGGTTGGGTATATCTGATAAATGTCTCGCGAGAAGCCCGTTAAGCACAGTCTGCCCAACGGAGACGAATATGGCACCACCGAGTTGCTGCGCGAAGAAGGTGATCGAAATTCCGATGGGGATATCCTCCTTGGGGAGTGTTGCTTGGACAGCAAGGCCGGAAGTCTGCATTCCAAGGCCCAAACCAAAACCAACAAGGAATTGATAGGCAATCCAGTGCGATGAACCCGTATCTGGCTTGAGCGTGGTCAAGAGCCCTTCTCCAATGGCCATGATACAGGGACATATCAGCATAGATGGGACATAGTAGCCAATGCGCTGGGTGAAGGCAGCAGAGATAATACTACCTACGACAAGGCTTAGCACTAACGGGATCGTATAAATGCCCGAGTCGACGGGTTTGGCGCCCTTAGTAGCCTGGACTATTAATTTGTGAGCGTATGCTATAAACAAAATGAAGACAGGGGCTACTTACACCACAGGGGGAGATAGTAAACGACAATCATCATACCACCACCAACCAACAGCATGGTCCATGCACAGGCCAGCATAGTCCTCTGAGTGATGACCTTGGCGGGGACAGTTGCAGTCTCGGGCATCTTGATCTGTATGAGAGCAAAAATGAAGGCTGTAAGAGCGAAGAGAACGAAGAGGAGAATTATTCGCCAGTTGCCCCAGGGGTAAGTCGAGCCGCCCCATTGAAGGGCCAGGATGAGGCAGATCATGGATGGCACAAAGAAGAATGTTCCGAGCGGGTCTAATCGGGTGATGTGCTTTAGAACAGGAACAGGTTCGTGCTTCTTGGGTGATATGTGGAGGAAGAAGAAGAGGAAGACCGAGGCGACGAATCCTACAGGGAGATTCATGTAGAAACACCATCGCCAAGTGGCATGCTGAGTGAAGGCTCCCCCAAGAAGAGGTCCAACAACGGACGAGATGCCAAAAACCATGCCAAACATGGCTATGAATATGTTAGCCGTTACTCGTCTAGTCATGGATGGGAGAGTGTATACTTACATTGGAACATTGGCCGCTTATGAAGAGGAATCATAGGAACAATGGACATCATCGACCCAGTCATGATGCCTGCTGAGCCAATACCAGCAATAGCTCTTCCGATTATAAAGGCAACAGAATTGGGAGCGGCACCACAAATGGCAGAGCCAATCTCGAACAGCAAGATACAGACAAGGAAGGTCGTCCTTAAAGGGTAAAATCGATAGATACGACCAAAAATGAGCTGAAAGGCAGCTGTTGTGAGCATGTATGCAGAGCCATACCATCCTATGTCGCCTAAACTCTGGAAGTCGTTTGTGATTTGAGGAATGGCAGTTGCAATGATTGTGCGGTCGAGAGCGACGAGAAACATGGCAGCAAAGACGGAGAGGATTATAAGCCAGAACTTCAATGTCTTTGGTTTGTAGTTCTCCTGAGCTTCTTTGTCGAAAGCTGGGCCCTTGGGACTTGACTCATCTTCCTTGGTGTCATTTGCGGACTCTTGCTGGTTGCCTTGAAGTGGTTGAGGCTTCTCATCTTGTGATGATATTTTGTTGTTAGGTTCGAAAGGAATTTGTGGTTCGGCTGATGAGAGCGAGTTGAATGATTTGCGATCTGGAGCATGAGATTCGGTCTTGTCAGGGGGAGACATGGTTGAAGTTGAAGCTGAAGCTATTCAGCTGGAGGTGCAGGTGCTTATACGATGTGATATTATACAGCGTATTAGTATTAGTATAACTGCAAATGTTGGAAAACACTGGAATCTGGTGCTGCTGAGCAGGATGAGGCTTGTTGAACTGGACATTTTGCTAGATATATATCTACGCTGCAAGTAATCATCGGACGGACTGAAAACCGAGCCATGCAATAAGTTGAAACTAGCGGCAGGACCTAGAAGAGATTTACATACAGAAGATGCGCGTGCTCGGCCAATACTCATCCTAATAGAGAAAATTACGAAAATTGACCCGAGAGAAGTGGTTTGACGTAGAATAAGGGTCCCGAGGGTGAAAGGATCAGTTATAGGTCAGATCCGGAGACCACAAAGCTATACTCGATTGGGAAATCAAAGTCGCGAAGGTGCCAAGAGTGTCCCCTCCCTCGGGACCGACGGGCATAAACTCACCATGAGCAACACTCAAACTTGACAACTCTCGGCCATTTTCTTGTCTACTACCCGAAGAGAGTCTCTCAATGGTACTTCGTCTTTTCTTCATTTCGCCCTTGGGTTACACCTCTTGACCCGCCCTTGATTGTATCTGATCCGCTCAACCTCATCTTCAACACCCATTAACACGCAAGGATCGAGGGGACCAATCAGTTCAATCCTACTTACGATATCAAACAGTCTCTCATAAAAGAGCACGGCCGCCAAGCAAAAATCAAGCTCCCGTTCCCGTAATCTCGGGCCCGAAGATCGCAAACACGCCATAATTATCCATCCAACGCATCGCAACGTCCGTTCCCTCTTCTGCAGATCTGTCCTGTCACTGGCCACAAGCAGATGGATGGATGCATTTGCAGGTCCCTGACTCTGATCCCTACCCACAAGCTACTCTACTGTAGGTAGGCAAGTATCTTACTGTAGGGCTGAGAATTCCGACAGTCCAGTACCTACAGCTGAAAGAGACTTGCAGCTCAGGGAACCCATGAGAGTCTCTCAAATCTAAACAAAAACGCCTCTTTCTGGGGCCTACCCCCGCTCTTCATTCGCCGCCACGTCAACCCAATAACGCGTGGCTGTTGCTGTGTCTTATTGTCTCAGCACACACTCGCCCGGGCCCGACACCTCCTTCGCCGTCGCCTGTACCCCTTGCCCGGCCCCGTGCAGATCCGGCATAGGATACCCACTCCGTCGGGGTCGAATCATCCGGCGATTCGGTCCTCTGATACAGTTACTGACTGGCCATGCCCTACCCAAATGGCATTCCCGGTGTCCCCGGATCGGCCCCGCAGCAGCAACAGCAGTCTCAAGTACAGCAACCTCAGGATCCTTCCGCCATCAAATTAACTCGAGGGACCAGCTGTGTGCTTTGTCAACAGCGTAAGGTCCGCTGTGACAAGAACAAGCCGTGTGCCAACTGTGTAAAGGCCAAAGTTGAATGTCGTGTTATTCCACCCCAGCCTCCTCGCCGCCGGAAGAAGCGTCTCCAGGAGAAGGACTTGATCGATCGGCTAAAAAAGTACGAAACCCTTCTAGCGGAGCACGGTGTCAAAGTTGATGCCATCGGGCATGAATTAAGACCTGATGGCCCCCCGGGTGAAGATGTTGAAGAACTTGAGAACGATTTTGAAGGTCTTAAGACAACCCCTGAAGCTAGTTCATCCCCTGCACCATCTAATTCAGAGCAACGGTATGCATCCTGCAGACAAAGCATGTCAACGCCCCTCAAAGTACTTCCGCTCACATGATTATAGGACTGGCGGCGGGGCGTGGTTTTCTTATCACAAGGAGGTAGGCTGAGTTCTCCTCTCGCTCACTACAATCGTCTAATATTCAACGTAGTTTCGAGCCAGTGAACACATGCTGCAAGACTCCTCTGATGATGAACCTGAAGTGGGCTCAAGTATTCATCGTGCCTTTGATCGAATGTTTGACACTGATGGGTTTCCTTTCATCATTGGAGCTGCCCCAGTCCCTATCGCGAATCTTCATCCTTCCACAATACACATCTTCCAGCTCTGGCAAATATATATCGACAACATTAATCCCCTGCTCAAGATAACACATGTTCCTACAGTTCAGGCACAGATCATAGAGGCGAGCTCTGATCTCGAAAATGCACCAAAGAACATCGAGGCTCTCATGTTCTCCATGTACCTCATGGCGATCACATCGCTTGAGGATGCAGACGTCTACAAACGGTTCAACGAGACCAAAAAGGAGCTCCTGGCAAGATACCATACTGGCACACAGCATGCCCTGACGAAAGCCGGGTTTATGAGGGTCAACGATCCTATTCTCTTGCAGGCGTATATTCTTTACCTCGTAAGTTTAACCTGGGGATTCTTTTGCGAATGCTGTCGGTTAACTTTTACTTAGTTTGCTGTTCGATGGTTCGTTGACCCTCGTCAAGTATTCTGCCTCATTGGTTTAGCTGTCCGCATTGCCCAGCGGATGGGACTTCACCGGGATCCAGCGCAGTTTGGGCTACCGCCATTTGAGGTTGAGCAGCGTCGCCGACTGTGGTGGACCCTTGTGGGATACGATCGACGGCTAGGAGAGATGGCAGGATCAACAGTCACTGCTCTCTCGACCGGCGGCGACTGCAAGATTCCCATGAACGTCAACGACTCGGATTTACATGTTGACGGTAAAGAGTTACCCACACCACACTCTGGACCAACCGAGATGCTCTTTTCTCTTACGAGAGTCGAGCTCGCCATGGCGGTTTCAAGCGATAGTAATCGCGACAGCTACAAAATGAACAACACAGATAAGAGTCCTGCTGGGACACCTGCTTCCAAGAATCAAGCTACCATCCGCCTTGCTGGTCAAGACGGCCCTGCCTATACGCTCGACGGTTTCTGTGCACACATAGAAGGCACATACCTGAGCCAATGCGACCCTAAGATCCCCCTGCACTTCTTTACCCTTACCATGACTCGTCAAGCTATGTGCAAGATGCGAATCATTAGCTTCCTTGTTCGAATGCATAGCAATGATGACAATCTACCTCTTAAAGACGTTGAGCGCGACAGCCTCTTCCTACAAGCCACGCAAATGATCGAATACGACAATGTCGTCCAGTCATCCGAGTCCCTCCGGCCCTTCAAATGGTACTCTATGCACCACTTTCCCTTTCCCGCCTACATGTTTCTTGTCCAGGAGCTACGCCACCGCGTCTCTGGCCCAATGGTAGAGCGAGCATGGGATGCCATCGAAAAGAATCATGACCTCCGTGGCCTTCTCAACAACTACCACAACCCTATGCATATGGCATTTGGTGGCCATTTCATCAAAGCCTGGGATGCGCATGAAGCTGCCTTGATAGCTGCTGGCAGACAGGTTCACAGACCAGCTTTCTTGGGACCTTTGCGTGAGCGTGTAGCAGCTCGCCGGCGAGCAAAGCAAGCCAATCGACCTGTTCCAAATCCTCCCCAGCCTCCAATCGGCGTCCCGCATTCTCAGGTCACGACGCCCTCTTCCACTGGGTTTGCCCCCTCTGTTGGTCACATGACGCCCGGAACTGTGCACCATGGCCAACGGGCAAACTCGGGCTCCGTTGCCTCCAGCGACGAGCCTGGTGAGATGGACTGGACTTATATGATGTCTGGTTACAACGACACTTCAAGTTTCACCCCGATGGGCGGGTTTGGCAGCTTCAGTGGTGGCTTTGGCGGGGGTATGCCTGGTATGCCACCTGGGATGGGAGGTATGGGGCGTCCTCCGACTGGTAATCCTCCAGGTGGTCGCATGTTTGGTGGGAATTAGAACACTATGAGCAGTGATGTGATACGATATACGAGCGCCATTGTTCTTTTGTTTATTTGTTTTGCTCCTTCAAAGTGGAATGCTTTATCTTGGATGTTTGTTTGCATGATAGTATTTGAACATGATACAGTATATCGGTATCTAGTATTCTATTTTTCTTTTCTTCTTTCTTTTCCTTGGCAACTGCCTCACATACAGCTCACAATCCTAGCTCGAACTAGAGTATACGAATGGCCACAGAGGCACCGTAATCACAAGCGCAGTTTGTTCATGCTGGCATCTGTATCAGACTTAAGACGCTCTCACATCAACTTCTACCCAATCCTTGGAGAATGCAGTGTCCTATTCAAGATATATAAGCTAAATAACTTACTGGGCACGGCTGAGGACCACAGATCGGAAGCGCACCCAGCCTATTCAGACGTTGGCTTTTACTCATAGAAGCCCGCTAATGTTTTACTTACTAGTATAGATGTTGTGTCAAGTTCAGCCTGAAGTATCACCGCAGAAGAGTGGAGGCATTGCCTGTCCCATCTTCACCTCAAAGTCAAGCCGATAGCTGTGCTAAACTATGTACGGAGCAGACCCGAGGATATGGTGAAGCATTTCAGTTTATTATGCCGCCGTTTCCCAATTAGACAACCAGCATAAGCCACGGCAGAACGATTAGCTTATATGGCGGGCCATTGTTTGCTTTGTGTTGCATTTCTACAACTCTGGAGCAGCATGCGAGGTAACCCTACATCCATGTCATCCCAGTCACCAAGGCCAGATAGGTAGGTTAGCAGTCAGAGTATTGAGGTGTCACACATTCCAAGTGGTGGCAAAAGCATTATGCACGCTGACAGTTTTGAGTTAGTCTCTGTCGAATGTCCGTTCGCATGGGAGAAATTTTGCAGGATGGCCATTTTGCTAAAGATTTCTTCAGTGCCCTATGAAGGTGGCTTCTGCGCCCAGCAATCAATCCAGTCGAGTTGTGCGTGAATGCGAGTGTTGTTGAAGGTTTCGAATACGCTGTGCCCAAGCTCATATGCCTCTTCTTCTGTGACTCCCATGATGTCCGGACGGCCGAGCATTGCCGTGACCCATTCCTCGAGGATATTTTGAGTGAAAATTCCCATTTCTCGCATTTTTGCTTCCTGGTGCCATCGGCCAACAGGTGTGTATGAATGGCGTTCATTGACATTGATGAATCCAACGTCACGCAGCGCTTCAACGATCTGGAATGGAAAGCGTAGATTCCAACCATATATCGTTGTAAAGGGACCCTCGACAAGGCGGTAGAACTGGTTCATAGGATGATCATCTCCGGCAGTACCGTCAACAGAGAAGACAAAGGGAACAATTTCATGGATTTCAATCCAAGCACCTGGTTTCAGCTTTCTAGCAGCATTGAATGAGCTGGGGTTACGACAGGTTGATTCTGACACAACTTACTCAAAGGCTCTTTCTAATAGCTGTCTCGGTTTTCGCAAGGTCTGTAACAAGGCTCTGACATGAATTAAATCTGCATCGTCATATATTCTTGTCCATGGACGATTTTCATCCTCGAGATCTTCTACTCGAAATTCAACGTTGGGCGGCGTCCAATGCGGTTGGATGGGTGAAAGATCACATCCTATAACTCGTGCGCTGGGAAAGTTTTCTGCGACTAAGGCAGGCTCGCTGTCAGCCTGAGAGTATTGCAATTGAGACGGAAGAACTGACCGTCTTGCGCCCACATGCCAACACCTGTACCAAGATCAACAATCTTTTGCGGGTTGTTCCCGATGGGGGCCAGAAATAGCTTTCCGTCGAGGAGATAATCCAGGTACAGCTTATGTTTCAGGCCCTCGCGAACCTGCTCAGCATCGTCGTTTGGTAGGCCATAACGACCACAGAGAAAGCCTTGATACCGCCTAACAGATTAGCATTCATCGACGGGGTGTAACAATGATCAGCAACACACCTTCCATGTTCGTACGAGTAAAGTTCCCTGGTATTGACTGAAGTAAATTCGGAGGTTGCTATTGAATCTCCATAGTCTGACGTTGGGTCCTCTTCGGGGTCTCTATGGTCCATCGCTATGGAACCTCTGCTTCAAGTCCCCCTTGAAGGATCGTACTCGAGAAGAGATAAGTTAATTGGGAAGGGAATAGAATTTGATGCGAATACATGAGCACTCCGCAGAAAAGCAGCAGATAGGTATTGTAGCAGCAAGCTAAAAGAAGGGCAGAATGATAGGACAGGCCTCGGTGGGTCAAGCATACATACATATGCCGGTGACAGATACCCAGACCTTGTCCCGATGGTAGGGTACGTATGTCGCAGGGGGAAGCCTGTTCAAAGGCAGGGAAAGCTAACACTGGGAGAATGATATGTGACAGGGACAGTCGAGAGAAGCAAGCACGCCAATACCAGGTATTGACCAAACCAGCCTGTTTGATAGGGCCTGGTTGAACGAAAAGTTGCACAGAGTGAATGACAAGAGCGACAAAGACCCAGCAAACCGGACTGTGTGGAGGGGACTAACCGAGTGAATGGTCCCAGCTAGCCAATACGATGAGAGAACAGCCAAGGAGGATTTCCAGAAGAACGGAAGGGAGGGTCGGCGGCGCAGGGAGACCCAGAATCCCAGGCGACCGGTAAGTTGGTAGCAGACAAGACAGACGGTCGGTGCGGGATAGGCTCTTGGGTTAAGCGGTATGGCCCCGAGCCGTCGGGACAAGCCGAAACTCTTTTGAGAAGAGTTCACACTGATCGGCGGCCGTAATGCGACCCAGTTGTGACGTGGTCGAACGAGCGAGTGAGCGAGTCCAGTGTACTAAGGCAGCTAATAAAGCTGAGACGAGGGATGCAAAATGGTAACTGTTCTTGATTGTGATAGAGGAACGCCAACAAGAGACAGTGCTGTGGCTAAGGATAGAGAGTTTCGTGTGAAGGTTTGGAGGAATTCAAGTCGTGATGATCGCGTCTCGTCAAACTTCAGTTGCCCTATGTTTCAACTTGACGGATATGAGTTATACCTTGTTGGTTTTCAAGCTTGTGTGGGAATGTGGCCGGCCTAATACAACGATAGATCATGCCACTCTCTCGACCATTCCGTTTCTGAGAGCCATTAATTCACGCTGTCGGAGCAGAAAGGCGAGGCAAATAAAAAGCGACACCTTTCCGTCACCAATTCTGGTCCGAGGAGGTGGTGCTGTGCTCTACCAAAGGTATCGTAGAGTAACGGTAACAGTAACGTATCCTGCATAGGTGCAATCATTGCAATGCCATCCCATCCAATCCCACAGTGGGCCGAAGGAACCTAATAATAAGGACCAGTCTCCATTTGTTTCCTGCCCACCGTCACTTCAGAGCGGAGGATGTTGGGGTCGTCCACTCCTCTCCGTCACGGCAAGGCAATGCTCCGTGAATGCATTGCATGCTTGCGTAGTAATACAAAACTGCCGTATTTGACCAAATCATTGAACTGTTTCTGTTAAGTAACACGGAAAAGGGAATGTCCACTTCTGCTGAAACCATGGTCAAGGATTAGGTGCTCGGCATAGGTACGATAAGATATTTCAGCCAAAGTCCTGCATGCCTTATACTGGATAGAGGCCCGAGGTACATTCAAAATCTTTGTCGAGATAATAACAAATATGACGTTGGATGCCCTGACAGCCTGAGGTCCAAAAGGCAGTACGAACTACAAGTCGCAGAGCCGCGGTTCCGAATTATCTCTTTGAGCGGCACAAGGCCTCAAACATGTCACGACAGGGGGCGGGCGCCAATCAAAATGGCCGTGACGATCGGTACCTTCGACCACGCCTAAATTTGCGTGTGATAGAAGTACCAACAGTCAGCATTGTTACAAATCGCTACATTACATACTTTGCAGCCGTATCGGGTCCTTACCCTTCGTTCATTTCCTGATATCGGCTGGAGATAGCCTCCTTTTTCCTTCCTTTTTTTCAAGGGTCGAGGCTGCCCTTGCCGGCAACCTTTACAAGCTAGGCAGGGGGAATATTTGCCTCTATAGACATGATTAATATCTCTTTGTAGGTGATTTTGCCGTGCTTCTGTATTATCATTGTCTTCTTCCTTCCCTGTGCGACCTCTCTTCCTTGTGTGACCGTCAGATGCGTATTTGTTGAAAATGGCATTGTAAATAGCCTCTTTCCAAGCTTGAAGTGTGCTATAGGGCTTCCAACGAGGCTGCCGGGTCTTCTTCTGCAAAATGAAGCTATTCGCAAGTGCGACTTCAAGGAGGAAAGACCAAAGCAACGCCTGCCAAGGACCGCGCCGGAATCGATGCTGATATGTTGTATAAGACCTTATCTGATCACCGCGGTCCACGTGATTCATTTCAACGTTATACTGAGCGGCAACAGTAGGAATAGGGATCATTTTGAAGCTATCACCATTGAAGACCTGCTGCAGGCGTTGTGCCTCTGCCTTCGTGCCTCTTTTGGCAGGCAACTTCCTCTTTGTTGGTATGCGCTCGTGAGGGGCTCCGCTGTGCACAGTTGAAAGGAAGAGCACCACAGAGCTATCTTTCCAAGCGATTTGAAGGACCTAGGGATAACAGAAAGAGACGAATTAGTAAGGGAAATATATGTAAAGTTGTCTATACCTTTTTATCATACGTCGGGATCAAATATACCTCATTATACACCAAAGGCGTGCCATCAGGAAGCTTCCCGGTCTCTTTTATATGCTTCATCTCGGTGGTGATGCCGCAGTTAGGGCGTGCCGTGCCTGTAGCCCCATATCCAAGCTGCCGAAGAAGGCGGAAGAGCTGCGGCGATGAGAAGAGGTTATCTGTGAAGACGTGATGTGTCTGCGTTGACAGCCTTTTCAGTAGGTGGACTACGACGCTCTGTGTATTGCTGAGGGGGACCTCGGTCCGTAGCTTTCCCTTCTTGCCGTACGGCTTTGGTATAGGTAGCTCGACCGTCACAGCCGTATATGGTGATGACTTCACATGCCAAAGCCACTGCAGAAAGAAGCCCTGTTGCGCAATAACCCAGACTTTAAAGCCCACCGGCGTGGGCTTTCCCTTGACGAGCGTTGTCTCTTTCGATCTGCCTGTAAACGGGACCATGCACTCATCTACAGTCAGATTAGTCCCTGGAAGATAGAGCTCGATAGACACCTTTTGTATGTGATTAGACCACTCTTCAGCCGCTTGGAAGGTCTTTGGAAGATCACTCTCATCCCTCACATCGAGCTTGGTGTAGTCAAAAGTGCGGAAATACCGTGTGATCAGCTCGAACTTCCGTAACGGCATGAACTTGATGATTGAGTGAAGAGGGCGCTGATCTCCTAGGCTAGGGGCCTTCCAATGGTCCTTGAGGGATATTTCCCTATGAATTCCTAGGTAAATAAGGACCCCAAGCCATACATAAGCTGTTGCAGTAGAGATGCCTTCCCACTTAAGAATGCGGGACTGTTCGGAAAGGGGGGTATTCCAGCTGTCAATAACGGCATTTTCGAGCAAGTGAGCGACCCAGCTGTTGGTGTATTCAATCCATGACTGTACAAGGGAAATAGGTATAAAAAGCTGGAATAATTCAAGTGGTTCCTTGGGCAGAGGGTTGATCCTGAAATCACGATATTCTAGGTTGAAAGGTTGAAAATCATCGCCGCGGCCCTCTTCGGGCGGAAGGTTAGGCACGCCGGTGGGGTCATTAGCTGCTGCCTTTGAAGGCGGGGTATTAAAGCTGTTATCATCTATGTAATCTTGTATCTTTTGAGAGCTCATCGTTTTATTTGAGACTTATTAGGGTCAATTTGTATGAGGATTTTGATGATTTTGGTGGTGTTGATCGAAGAAGCTGTCTGACGGGAACTTTACGTAGCCCGCAGGTACCTGCAAAATTAGTCAGTAAAGTGGGGCTAGTGACATGTTTGAGGCCTTGTGCCGCTCAAAGAGATA